ATGTTTATTATCATCGAAATCATGCTTAACAAAGCATTGGATCAACAAAATAGACCCTAGCTTGACCGCGACGACATTGATTTTGGTGGGAAAGGCAAAGTACGATAGGGTACTACTCCAAGTAGGTTGGAGATGCTCTTGTAGTGGCCTCCCCACGATCTGTGGCTGCCTGAATCTATTGTCTACCATTTCTTCCTCCAGCTTAGTTTCTACTACAAAGGTGAGCTTCTTAATTTTCCAAGGTGTGGTTGCCTGAAACACTTGGGCTCCTCCTATATCAGAAGTTTGTGTGGATTCCCCCAAAGCTGTAGTGATGTCTCCTTAAATTAAACATCAATTATGGAGGAGAGTCCAATCGATCATGCACCAGTAACCTAGATAGACAAGAAACAAGCAATAATCAAAGATAAAAGAAAAGAAAAAAAAAAAGAAATTAATAAAACTAAAGGAAAAAGAAAAGAAACATGGAATGAGTTACCCAAAAAACATTCGAGTAAAATTGCAAGTTATTTGTGAATTCCTCCTTTAAACACTTAAGACATGTTTTTAGACACCTTCTTTGTGATTTTCCCAACAACGGCATCAAAAACTTGCTTGTTATAAAATATTGGTTCACCCAAGTGCAGGTGGTCAAGAAGAAATAATTTTTTAGTAAGTTCGAGATCGAACCACAAGCAATCAGAATAGGCTAATCAAAGCCAAGGGTATAGAAAAAGGAATTTATTTTGAACAATTTAAAAGTAAGGAATAATGAAAATTTTAAAGAGAAATCAATTAATTAAAACCAACATCTAGTTTTGGGATATCTCTTATCGATCACAATTATTGCATTCCCAAGAATTAATGCACATAGTTTACTCAATTAAAACCCATCGTCAGTATGAATCAATTGAAAGATTTATAATTAAAAAAAAAGTGCTATTGATTGGATTTCAACAACAATTAGATCTAGACCGAAAATTTGTAAGGAATTTGATTTACTTGATTTAAATCATACGCCAAAGTATAAGTGGTCAAATTATAATATTTATTGGTTAAGTCTGAGGTCAAACCCACGGGGAGCTACCTGTTGGTATTAAAAATAGAAAAAGATAAGATTGTCATGTGTGTTGTGTTCAATGAAATAGCTTGAGGTGTGAGCTTAGAATTATCAAATAAATACTTAACTAAACTTTGAATAACAATAAATAAAAGATACTCTTCAGTTCGGGGATCTAACATGCATTATATTATTTGTTTATGAAAATGTCACCTTACAACAATTAACTCTTATTATACTGAAAATTTAACCGATAGGTTTGATGTATAGCTGAACCATATCACTGCAACTAATTAGGCTAGCTAGAAAGTCTATGTACCATGCAACAACCAAATAACCCTAGTAAACCTGAAGGTGAACCATTCAAAAGGTTTACTCTAACTATTTAACTGACAAGTTGATGATTTAGTGATGATGGAATTCTGACTGTAACATAAAACCCAACTGCATGCATCATTAAATCATGCATGAAGTACGTAATAACTTATAGATAAAATGGTATAGAACAATAAGCTTTGCTCAATGTTGATAATCATGAGCATATTTTTTTTTGGGAGGGGGAAGGGGGAAGGAGGCTTGAACCCTTGGGCTCAAAAAGACAAAGTCTTCAGGAGGCAAGGAATATCATTGGACCAAATGCTTATTGGTACATAACCATGAGCATATTATAATAATAATCATCCATCAATTAAGGGAGGTATAAACATTAACGCATAAATAAAACATCGACATTTCATAACTTAAACAAATTAAACATGCATTCACCCTTCTCCAAAGAGTATAAACGGACTACTCACAATTTATTGTTATAGATGAGCAAGAAAAATGAGATGATCTCATTATAACATAATATTAAATACAACAAGTCCTTCACCAAGGAATAGTTGAAACACTGTCACTCTTATTACTAGGTAGGGCACAAAAGTGAGAGTTGTTCAACCCTCTAAGTAGAAAGGATAAACGGAAAAGTAGAAGTGAGAAAATTTTGATTGGAAACTGATTAGGGTAAGGCTTTGCTCTTTTTGGCTGTAAAACACTCTCTGAAGTCTCTCACTTTCTTTCCCCTTCCTTTGTTTCTCTCATTCTCTAAACTGGATTGAACTCTTTGAAAATTGAACTGAATAGGGATATTTATAGGCACCAGAAAGGGGGTTAGAGATAGCAAACACCCAGGCTAGCCAATAAGATGAGTTTGTTGCTTTTCTAGACCAATAAGAGAAGAACGAGGAGAAAGGCGGTTGAAATATCATCCAGACACCACCACCACCGTCTGGATAGTGAGGATTCTCTAGTTTTTTTTGTTGCTAGCCTTTCTTTGTTGACTCTTTGACTTGTGAATTACACTTGCCTCCCTTGCAATAAAAATTGAACAATTAAAGTAATTGAACAAAATAAGTTCCAGCTCGATGCATGATACTTTCAACCTAAACTTCCAGCTCAATTTTGACATAGTTAGAGATTAATTGACAAAAATTTCATGAGATACACTTTTGTAAAGTTTGAAGTTTCAATACAACAAGAATTTGAATGACCTTAGAACACTTGATATTCACCTTGGATCACCAATATCTCAATGATTAATCATTCTTCCTTTCCAATGGAAGAATCGTTCAAGTTGTCCATTGTTCAACTTGCATGCAGAATCAGCACGAGTTCAAATGGCTTTCTTTATGGTTTTTATGACTATTTGACTATCCACCATCAACCCACTATAAATAGATCATTGGGGATAGTGGAAAGTGAATTTTTTTCGGTTGAAGTCCTCTTCGGGTCTTTTGTAGAAGCAAAGGTAAGGCAAGAACTTAGGTTGATTCGCCTAAGAATAATCCCTTTTGCGCAGGGCTCTTTCGTTTAAGACTTGACTCAACTCTTCCCAACTTAGAGGAAGCCTCACTACAACAAAAAGCATTTTTTGTAACGATTTTAAATTTGTCGCAAAAAATTTACTATTCACGACGATTTTATAATTTTGTCGCAAATTTCTCTTTTGACAATTTTTTTTGCGACGTTTTTAAAAAAACGTCGCGAAAAGACGATTCCCTCCTAATTGTTTTTGGCAGGGAGAAATGGTGGGAATTTGCAATTTTTTACGACAAAATTTTTTTCTCAAATAATTTTATCTCGTCAAAAAAATAAATAATCTAAAATTTAAGGTAAAATAAAGTCTAAATTTCTATTTTGGCAATTTTTTGCGACGTTTTTAAAAGTCGCAAAAAGGCAATTCCTTCCAATTTGTTTTTGGTAGGACAAACGGCGGGATTTGACGAATTAAATAAAAAAATAATTTAATTAATTGTTCGTAACGTATTTAAAAAAATGTCGCAAATACATTTTTTCGAAAAAAAAATTATTTAATTAATTTTTCACAACGTTTTCAAAAAACTGTCGCCAATAAATTTTTTTGTAAACAAAAAATTTTAAAAATTACGACGTTTTTATTTTCGTCGCAGAATATAAATTACAACCATATTTAAAGTTAAAATAAAAATATAAATACTAAATTGAGACGTTTTATTATGTTCGTCACAAAAAATATTTTCAAAATTTATTGCGATGTTTTTATTTTTGTAGTAGAATATAAATTAAAACCACATTTAAATTTAAAATAAAATAAAAATATTAAATTGCTACGTTTTATTATTAACGTCACAAAAATATTTTCGAAATTGATGACGACGGCTTTATTTTCATCGCAGAATATAAATTATAACCCCATTTAAAGTTAAAATAAAATAAAGTGGTATAACGGATGAGATAGAAAAATAAAGTCAAATTATAGTCATTTGTTATATTCACCATCTCTCGCTTTTTATGCACAATCCATTAATTGGATCCTTACTGGTACATTCCAAACATGCCCCATCATCTTTATTATTCTTTTCACAATATCTAAATAATAAAGTAGTTTACAATTCAAATATCAAAAGATAAATAGAATGATTTATACTATTTACGGTTGAGATCACTTTAAATTTTACTTTAAAATAAATCTAATGGCTAGTATTAACACCCTAAATTTAATAAGAAAAATAAAGTATTAAGGGTGTGATTGGAATGACTTTGTAAAAATACTTCTACAAATTATTTTTTATAAGTACTTTAAAAAAATAATGTTTAAAACCGCCCCACCACCACCTCTACCACCATCACCACCACCGTCGCCGCCACCACCACCCCCACTGCCACTGTCGCTACCACCGCCACCATCATAACCACCACCACCACCACCACCACCGTCGCCACAAATACTGGAGATAATTATAAATAATTAGGTCAGCAAATAATATTTAAGTAGCATTGTTCTTGTTTATATTTGATTGGTAATGAACTTTATTGAACTAGTATTATAGAAATAAAAATGTGGACTTATTTGTAACTATTTATTAAGCACTGGCATTATTATTGTTTAAAAAATATATTTTTATTTACTATTATTATTATTATTTTGTTTATTAAGTTAATTTTTAATTTGTAAAAAAATGAGTATGAATTCAATTAAGTGAAATTAGAATATTAGAGTTAAATTGTTTTATCTAAAGTTTATTTAAAGTGGACTATCCGTGACGATTTCATAATTTTGTCGCAAATTTAATTTTTGGCAATTTTTTTTGTGACGTTTTTTAAAAACGTCACAAAAAGGTGATTCCCTCCCAATTTTTTTTGGCGCTACAAATGGCACGAATTTATATTTTTTTACGACAAATTTTTTTGTCGCAGATAGTTTGAATTCGTCAAAAAAAAAAATCTAAAATTAAAATAAAATCAAAATATTTAATTCGCGATGTTTTATGTTTTTCGTAGCAGAATATAAATTTTAGTTATTAATGTAAAATAAAATAAAAATATGAATTCGCGACATTTTTGTATGTTCGTCGCGAAACTAAAATAAAACGATGTCGTTTAGAGTATTTAACACATTTTCCTAAAGTACTTTCTCAGCGCCACTCTCTCTCTCTCCATCTCCTCGCCATCTCTCTTCTCTCTCTATCTCTCTCTCTCTCTATCTCGAGTTCTATTGTGCTGAATTGAGATCGATCGAGAAGCATCCCTCGTTGTTGGAATCGCTATGCAATCAAAGTCTCAAAGTTCAGCCCAAGGCAATCGAAGTAGTCTCAAAGTCTCAAAAATATCCAGTGAAATTAGGCGATCGAACTCTCAAAGTCTCAAGGCAATCGAAATCTCCAATGAAATCAGGCTAGGCAATCGAAGTCTCAAAGTTCAGCCTATGGCAGTCGGTCTCCCCCTTCTCCTTCATTCTATTAATCTGTAAGTCCTCTCTCTCTCCTCCCTCACTGTGTTCCTCTATTTACCCGACTCCACTGCCTCGTATGTCCACTTTCCCTGTTGTCACATAACCAAGAGCCATAGACATCAGTCCATCTTTTTTGGGTCATTCTGTATTCTGATTTTACCAAAAGCAACTGAAAGGGAAAAAAGAAAAGAAAATACAGCTCGTACAGCGAGTGGCTGACTGTCACTTTCGTGGACGACAGTCATTTAACAGAGGTGTAAACGACTTCAAAAACTCTGCTTAACTCTTAAAATAATCTTGCCATGTGAGGGCAGCCACCACTCAGGCACTGACCACCACCGCGTTCTTTACTCTTTCTCTGTTTCATTACTGCGGTTGTAGTTCTTGAACACCAACTGATCTAGAAATCGCCACAATCATTACAACAAGAAATAGATTTTGGATTCGGATCTGTATCTAAGTACTCCACTCTTGCCATTGTACTAGTGATCTTGCTTTCTTGGAGCAACTTTACTTCCATAGGTTTGCACAAAAGTTCTTTTAATTCATTGAATCTTTCTAGATTTTTGGGTTTTCAGTGGTTTCTTGATATGTTTTTAAGTTCTTGAATAGATTTGATCTCATTTAATAACACACTGTGGGTGCCCAATTGACTGATGATTGAGAGGCATTTGTGTGATTTGAAAGTTTGTGTATGGAATGGAGAATGAGGACATGGATTCACTTATATCATCTAAAAGTTGAGAGATTTATGTTTTTCTGATAGGCAATTTAAGGTGTTGGAGAGGGTTCTGAGATTTAGCTTTTATTTTAGCTTCAAATTTTGAAGTGTGTTTTAACAAAAATTGAGACATTAAAAAATTCGATTGCAAAGAGAAAGTTTAGTTCTTTTGGCTTTTCATTCTGAGGAAAAAGGGAAGATAACCTCCAGATTTGATCTAGAGTATCTCCCAAAATTTCATTAATCAGTTTAATTAAGGTTTACAGGTTACATTATTTTCTTTTTAATAATGTAAATTTTGCAGGGGAATTTATTTTTCTTTTGAAAATAAGCAATGATTTGAATTTATTTATGCAACAAGCTCCTTAATCCAAATTATGCGAGGTAAAAAATAATGATGCGCTGCTATGTGGTGGAAATAAAGATGCCGGAGTAAAAGGTTGTATTTTGTATCCAAATTATTCCTCTTATACTATTCATAGATCATATTACGTTGGTGACTTATTTCTTAAATGACTCATTTTCAGATTTAGAGCCAAAAAATAACCGAGAGGATCGTGGAGATCCTAATGATCCGCTTGTAAGATTAAAACGTGACTGCGTTGGTATCATGGCTGCCTTCAGGCTTAAGGATCCTTCTGGCTATCTCGTTATTGTTGCAAACACGCACCTTTAATGGTAAACTGGTTTAAGATTCACACCTCTGTTGGGTATGTCTTGTATTTGTGTGTCTTTACCTCTGAATGGAATATTTGTTATCCTTTTTAGCTCAGAGTGTTCACTATCAGAATTGAAATTTGCTGCTCCAAGGATCCAGAATGGGCTGATGTTAAGCTTGCACAAGCTAAATTCTTGCTATCACGCATAGCTCAATTCAAAATGCAGGTATCAGACAAATTTGAAACCACGCCTTCTGTAATTGTTGCCGGTGACTTCAATTCAGTCCCTGGAGATAAGGTTTGTCAGTACTCCCACGATTTCTACTTGGAAATTTCAATTCTTGCTTTAATGCTTGGCTGCCTTTGATTGGCCGAGATCTTTCTTGCACGGTTTGCCAAAATTGTTGATGCGAGTTTAGTTGTAGATGCAAGTATCCTCTACAATCAAATAATTCTGTGTATCGAGATTTCATTCCTTAGTGTTATTTGAATTGTTAAACAACAATTTACTCTAAAAGCTTAAGCTAGCAGAGAGGGTGTAACTTAAGTATTTACATTTCAACACGCTCCCTCTTGTATAGGCTAGATTTTGGGTATAGCATGTGAAAATTTGGATAATTATCATGGGGGCAGCAAGGTTCAAATACAAGATCTCTTGCTCTGATACTATGTTAAACAACCATTTACTCCAAATCTATTAGAGATGGGATAACTTAAGTATTTATATTTTAATATGCTTATATGTATAGATCTACGTTACGAATTTTGGGTGTGGCTTGTGCCACCAAAGTTAGACTAAGATTAAAATTTGTTTAATATTTATAACTTATGATTGGAGGAACCAATATATACTAAGATTGCGTACTTCCAGTTTTTTTTCTCTCAATTCTCTTCAATAATAGATGACATATTGGTCAATGATAAGTGATCTACCATTAACAAAAATGAAGAAAAAGCAGCAGTAGGGGTAATCACAGAAACAAATGCTGAAAAGGCTCTTGAGGTAAGTTGCTCAGCTCTGAAATTATGATACTAGTTAGCACTGCAAAGGCCGCTGCACTGATTTTCTTGTAGTTTATCCACATTACTTTGTCAACACTTGTTTCCATTGTTGGTTTTGCATCAGCATCAGTTCAGGATCCCTATTGATAGGAGGAGGAAGGTTGTGTGAAGTGGTCAGTTTGATTATGTAGATTTTGAATAGTGTTGAGCTTGAAGATGTTATTTCAAGGCATGGAGCTGGGGCTGGAGCTGTTCAAGTTTAAGAGACATTAAAGATTAAAATTATTTTTTTTATTTTTAGGACTTCTTGTTTTTTGATTCTTGTAACTCATTCTTTTTAGAAATAAAATTTTATTTTTTTTACAAAGATGTGCAAATGCATTAATTATGTTAGTTTTTATTGAACACAGATATTATTGGTGTACTGGTGAAAAATTTTATTGGAATATCATTTTTTTTGTAAAATCCTAAAAATGAATTTTTTTTGTGACGAAATAAAAATCGTTGCTAAAAATTGTAGGAACACCCTTTTCGCAACGTTTTTTATACGTCGTAAATGTATTTATTCAATTATTTTTTAATTTTTTTATTAAAAAATTATTTGCGACGATTTTTTTACGTTGCGAAAAATTAAATAAATTATTAATTTTTACATTTTTTTATTTTTGTAAAAAATTATTTGCGACGATTTTTTTACGTCGCAAAAAATTAATTAAATTATTAATTTTTACATTTTTTATTTATGTAAAATATTATTTGTGATGATTTATTTACGTCACGAAAAATTAATTAAATTAATATTTTTAACAATTTTATTTATGAAAAAAGTATTTGCAACGATTTGTTTTACGTTGGGAAAAAATTAATTAAATTATTATATGTAACATTTTTTATTTATGAAAAAATTATTCGCGATGATTTTTAAAATTTTAGCGACATTTTTTTTTGTCGCAAATTGTTTTTTTTGCGATGAAAATAAATGTGTCGCAAAATACTTTCTACGACGAGACTATTGCGATGAACACGCGACGAAAAAAAAACTTCACAAAAAATAATTGGTGACAATTTTTTTAATTTAGCGACGAAAAAAATCGTCACAAAAAATAATTTTTGTTGTAGTGCCTGAATCAATCTTTATGGGATTGTATGCAACAACAGATCCTACATTTTTGGCTTTGACACAAGCGACTACTTAAGCTGAAGTTCATGTTCAAGGGAATGGTTCTGAACCAACTTTAGAACTTACCTTAGACCCTTCCAATGGACCCATAAGCAACCAGAAGAGAAAGCCTAGCCCATTTATTAGAAGCTGAAGTATGGAAGCACATAAGTATGATAAAGTCGTGTAAAATAAGTATAGGATAGATTTCTCAAAGAAGATGCAAAAAAAAAAAGCATTTTTTTTACAAATTACATCCAATCAAACTCAAATGAAATCAAAACACCACAATTCCTTGAAATGCAAGAAAAAAAAATGCTTGAAATGTAAAAAATATATATATATATATATGCTCAAAATATAATAATGAAATTTCTAACCATTATCTTATGATATGGTACCAATGTTGCTTTTGATCTCAAATTTTTTTTTGGATTATACGTATACATGCATAAGTGATGCTTTAAATCCCAATCACTGAAAACTATGATTATTTTCAAACCTTGTTAGCTACAGAACTGGATTAAGTTATTTGACGCTCACCAAACTCTATCTATCTCTTTTACAAATTCTGGCAGATCAGGGATAACTTTTTTTTTTAGGCCATGTTCTGGTCGCAATGATTTCCTTGCTTGAAGTGTGAATAAAGCATATTTTTCGTTATGAGTTTTGTTGGAACATAAAAGCTTGTAATTTGAGTTTTGGAAATTGTAATACTTTTTACTTTTAGGAAATGAATTTATATTATTGAGGCTGTTAGTGCTCTGATTACTTTGGAGTTAGGTCAAGCCATTACATACCCTTTCTCCCATTATCCACTGTTAACCATGAATCAAGTTAGGTTATCATTACTTTTAGAATCTATGGAGTCTACAGTTAAATCAGTCAATATAGATATATGGTTTAAATTAAATATGTAGTTGTATGTTGTCAAACTTAAATTAAGTACAATAATTGTAGAATCTAAACGGTCACGCTCCATTTTTTTATTTTTTTAAATAAATAATGTGATCATAAATTAATCCAATTATTTAAGAAAAAAGAAGCCAAGTTTATAATTTATAGAAAACCTTTACGAAAAATGTCCAGCTTGCAAGCACATAAATATCAATTCCCAAAATCTCGACCATATTAAGTAAAGAAAATCTCATCAGTAATGATCATCATGACAAGAGCAAAACATCTAAGAACGTTGAACTAACTAATCCATCCAACTAGCTAAAAAAAATATATCAAAACACAACAAAACCAAATTTGAAACTATCTAATTCATGACTAAGTTCCTCTCACGGCTTACCATAAATAAATGAAATGTACTCTAGTAATTAGCCAGTCTTTTGCATAAAGTCCTCAACTACCCCTCTCATCTACTAATCAGTCTCTAAAAAATATTAAATAAGAATGAGCATCGAAGCCCAATAGGATAACGTTTCTCAAGTCACACCAAGGATTTGAAAAATAATATAGTGTATAGTAATTAATAAGCAACATAAGAATTTCATATACATAATGCTTTCCCTCCAAAGGGGTTATATTTTCATAAAAGCTCCCAAGTGTAACAGAAAGGTATTGTGTAGTAACTTGAACAAAAGTCCATGGTTGTCTCCTCAGGGAAAGAATTTGGAATTCAAAGTGATAAAAACAAAAATGAAAAAGCTCTTTGAAGTTGAAAATTTTGAGAGTTAGCTACTAATGATTGAAATTCAGTAACTGAAAAAACTAAATAATCTTCAGAATTCATCTCACTTATAAATAAGAGTTTCTACCTTAAATCTATAATTCATCTGTTTTTGTATTCAAACTACTACAAATGGAAGATTTTCAACTAAAACATTTAAAAGAACTAATGTAACAATTGAAAAATAGTTTATGGTGGAAGAATCCATACTTTAAAGGTTGCAGGAGACACCACAATTATTTATACCAAGCCTAATTGCATATAGATAATAGAGATGTATACAAACCAATTAGGTTTTTGAAAACATAACCTGTTCAATCAATCTCATAAATGTTAAAACCCTAATTTAAGGCATACACCCTAGTTCATAGGGTTTGGGAATCCTTCCTCAAATCATCCAAAAGAAGAATACTCACTCATGATAATGAAAATAACACAAAGCTTAAAAATAGACATGATTGAATATAGAAAAGTAAATGACAGAATTGAAATTGAGTTCTTGTATTGAAAAATCAAATGTAAATAATAAAGCTTTGAAAGTAAAGACAATTGAAATTTAATATTGCTTAAAATAAATAATTGAGAGACTGAATGTTGAATGAAATTCTGTAGAAGAAATCCTAAAACTCTATAAAAGAAGACTCCTAAAAACCTATGTAAAACTAGTGAACAACCTCCCTTTTTGATTCACCAAAAAGTCTCTACTTATAGCGATTAGGAAAGAGAATCTTCAGTTTATTTGAAAGACATCAATCCCAAAATTATCTCCTAATTTTATTGGTTGCGAATCCCCAAAAGATTTGACAAAATCTGATCTTTAATTATGCTTCCTGGGAGTATCTAAAGACCTACCAGTAGTTCCTTGTCTGTCAGGAACCTCTAAGACTGTTGTAGCTTTTCTACTGGTAGGACCCTTCTAATAAAAGTACTAAGACTTCAGTCATCGGTAGATCGTACTAAACTACCGGTAGAACTTCACTGATGAAGACTTGTAAACTTCTGTGAGCTCAAGTACCGGTAGAATCGACTTCCTACCAGTAGAACCTTTGTCTTTCTGTCTTCCTACTGGTAGAACAATTACTGTTAGTTCTTCTATTTTCCCTAGTTGGCACGGCTTCATCTAATCTCGGTCATACTCTTTGCCACTGTGTTCCTTGTCATCATATCCATCCTAAAACTCCATATTTATACCTATAATACCCGCAATACCAAAATCAAGGCATAAGCTAAAAAATGCCCTAAGTGAAACAAGTTAGTTAGTTCATAAGCCTAAGCTAGATGTGAAAGGCTATGAAATAATGCAATATTAAGTGTTCATAAAATAATATAGAAATCAATTTATGCAACAGAAAACATGAATATGCATTTCGCTTCCACCAACAATATAAATGCATGTTAGGTCATGCATTGTAATTTACTAATTTTTTGAAGTCTATGTAAATCTCTACCTTTTCCAAGGTCATGATGCTACAACAATGAAGATCCGAAAGTGTGAAATGGAAGGGAGGAGATTATGCTTTAAGCTACATCAAAAGAACTCTTTTATGCACCTTCTTACTTAGGAAAAAAGGTAATGATCATAAAGACCTAAGAATCCTTGGTTTAATTTATTAGACTTAGGATGATTAGTTGAAATGACTCGTAGGTGATTTTCAAAGAAAATTCTTTCTAAACCTCGGTGTTTTGAAAACATAGTTTGAGTCATTAGTGGACCCCTCTTGAACAACACTATTTAGTGTTCAAGAAGACTAGTTATATTCTTGGCTTTCGATTTAAAAAATTAGTACGGACCACCCTATATTCGCTAGCCTTATCTAGAGCGGTCTCTAAAGACTTAGAAAAAAATTCAAGAAAGGCTAAGTTGGTGGCAACAAAAATCGCCCTATGGGTCGCTTTCATGCCACTACAGCGGTCCTAAGATCGCTCAAGCGATCCTTACTCTACAGTTCTAGTTTGATTCTAAATTTCATTCCAGTGACCACTGTCCTCCCACTGCTTAAGTAATCATTCACGAATTTGTGTTTTTATGCACTCCAAAACAAACCTTATTCCAAGCTTATAAATAGAGGGAGCCTTCTCAAGTTAGGTTAATAAGAAAAATCACTTTTGTGAGCTTATTTCTTGCCTCTAAACTTTAAGAGATCTCACCACAACCTGAGATCCCTAAAATTCAAAGGCCACCATCTTATGATTCCTATCCAATCTCACACCTTGGAGAAGAAGAACTTGGTTGGTTAAACCAATCCATTGGATGTGTGCATACCGAGGATCTTATTGGAGTATATTGCTCGAGGCCTAAACGAACTATGTAGAGCGGAGTTTAAGTGAAGCTATTCATAACGTCGAAGAGAGACTTTTGACGAAGATGTTTATTGAAGGAAATGAGCGTCTAACCCTGGTATTTATCATTTTTACATATACACTTTTAATTTG